TAGGCACTTGAGAATAGCAAGTGCAGGGTGAGTCTTTCTTTGAACTCCCCTTATCTGCCTAAAGATAGAAATTCCAAAAGGAACTCAATTGCCATAAATACCCTATCAGGGAGTTTCATCAACCAGGGAAGACTCTTATAGGAGAGGAGGCTAGAAGGTCTACACACCCAAACTCTGTCACAAACTATCATATCGCTCATCTATTCTTCTAAGGGCCCTTTCATTCCTAAAGGTAATGTACCTTTTCCTAAGAGACTTCCATCTCCCCCTACCCCCTGCAACTGCTTCCCTTCCCCAATTGAGATATTTAAGCCTGAATTCTAAGCTATCTTGGGGAGTTAGAATTACTCCCTGGATATGTACAAAGATTCTCTGTTTAACCAAACTTTAGCCAGGTTCCAGAACATCCCCCTAGCCCACCTGTGCACTTCCTTGCAAAATCTAGTATTAGCAAGAACCCTGCTAAGTCATTTTAGCAAGTCTCCCATTCTCCATATCTGATCATCCTAAATATTAGTTCCTCATCTTCTACCATCCCCCTGCCCAGGTGATGTCTAACTACTCTGGCTTGTCTTCAGCAAGAATCTCTGGCCCGGCCAAGCGTGGCTCAGCGGTTGAGCATTGACCTAGGATCCTGGAGGCTGAGTTTCGATTCTGGGTGAGGGCCCATGCCTGGGTTTCGGGCTCGATCCCTAGTTGAGGGTGTGCAGGAGGCAGCTAATCAATGACGACTCTCTCATCATTGATGTTTCAACTCTCTCTCGCTCTCCCTTCCTCTCTCTGAAATCAATAAAGGTCAAACCAAAAAACCCCACAGCTTCGTTTAAAAAAAAAATCTCTTAATAGTGACTTTCAATGAACAGAAGCTCTTACCTTTATTACAATCCAATTAAACCCTTTTCTTCTATGGTTAGTGCTTTTAAAGAAATATTTGACTTACTGAAGGACACAGACATTTTCTCTAAAATCTTTATTTTACCTTTTGCATTTGGATCTGCCATTCATCTGGAACTGATTTTTGTATGATATCAAATAAAGGACAACATATTTTCCCCCCACATGGATGTCCAGTTAAGCTGGCATTTACTGAATAGACAATCCTTTCCCCATTGAACTACAATGATGCCTTGGCCATAAATCAGAATACTTTGTATCTGTGGCTTTGTTTTCAGATGCTCTTTTCCATTAGTCAATTTGATCATTCTTGTACCAGTATCACATTATTTTAATTACTATAACTTTATAATAAATCTTCCAGCTTTATTTTCCTTCAAAATTGCTTTGGCTATTCTTGGTCAGTTGTATTTCTGAACGAATTTTAGAAACAGCCTGTCAACTTCATTCAGTTAAGAAAAAAAATACCTACTGAGATTTTTGAATCGGTTTGCTTTGAATCTACAGGTTAATCTGAGGAGCCCTGGCATCTTTATAATAATGATCTTCAAACAAAAACACTTTTATTGCTTGCCTTCTACATGTGTCAGGCAGCGTCCCATCTCTTTCTGTATCCTGAGATAAGATAGTTGAAGTACAAATATCCAACAAAGAACTTACATCCCCAGCATACATAAAGAACTCCTTCAAATCTGTAAGAAAAAGGGATAACCCAATAGAAAAATATGCAAAAAAACCCTGAGTTGGAAATATTAAAGCCAAGAGGAGATACCAGTACATACCTACCAGAATGATAAAAAGAAAGATTGAATTTAGCAAGTGCTGGTGAGGATGCAGAGCAACCGGACCTCTCACACACTGCTGGTAGGAGTGTAAATTGGTATGACCACACTGCAATAATGTTTGGCACTATCTATAAAAGGTGAACATACGCATTTCCTATGACTCAGCAATCCCACTTCTAATAAGTATATACCCAACAGAAATATGTTCAACAAAACACACATCCTAAAAGGTTCACAGTAGCACTACTCATAAAATCTCAAACTGGCCCTAGCTAGTTTGCTCAGTGGTTAGAGCATCCGCCCATGGACTGAAGGGTCTCGGGTTTGACTCAGGTCAAGGGCACGTACCTCGGTTGCAGGCTTGATCCCTCACCCCTGTCAGGCACGTGTGGGAGGCAACCAATCAATGTGTCTCACATTGATGTTTCTTTCTCTCTCCTTCCCTTCCACTCTAAAAAAATCAATGAAAAAAAATATCCTCCAGTGAAGATTAACAACAAAAAAATCTCAAACTGAGAAACCACCCAAAGACCATCAACAGTAGAAAGGATTATAAAAANCAGTGAAGATTAACAACAACAAAAAAATCTCAAACTGAGAAACCACCCAAAGACCATCAACAGTAGAAAGGATTATAAAAACTGTCCTATATTCACATGAAATACTATGAAGAAATAAAAAATGCTCACATGACAATATAGATGAATCTAACAAGCAAACAAAACCAGAGAGCAAAAAATGTCAGACGAAAAAGAGCATATGCAAATGGAGTTGTACAGTATGTACACTATAAAAATAGGAAAAACTAACCTAAGTTAGTTATTATAAGTCTGAATGGTGGATATCCTTGGGATGGGGAGAAATGACTGAAAGAGCAAGAGAGAGAGGGCTTCTGGTATACTGGTGATGTTCAGTTTCCTGATCTGGGTGCTTGTTACAAAGGTATGTTCACATGTGAAAATTCAGCAACATTTATGATTTGTGGACTTTTCTTATGCATATTATGCTGCAATAAAAATTAATGCATGTGATTCAAAGCAAATAAATCAAAGAGCAAGCTGGGAAAAATTTTGTACATGAACTCATGCAAATCAATTTTTAAGAAGCTTAGCATCCAACTGGAAAATGGGTCTACATACAAAAAGAAATGTTCAAGCAAAGAAAGAAAAATGGCTCCAATAAATGCACAAACTGTAAATTAGAACAATGGAACGCTATTTTTTCCTAGCAAAATAGCAAAGATTAAAGAAAACTAATAAGGTTGTTGCTGAGGATTTGGTGAAACTAATATGCTTATTCCTAATGGAAACAAATTGATAATAACTTTTCTGCATTAAGTCTTTAAAAATTGCTCTTTTCAACCAATAGTTTCTCTTCTAGAAATTATTCTAAGAAAAATTCAGAGTTACAATTAAAGATGGATTCATATCAGTGTTGATTACAATGGCATTTTGAAACAATATAATTATATCATAATGAGAAAATGGTTACATTATGATACATATACATGATGGGATCAATGTTTTCTAAGCGTAATGAATAGGAAAAGACACATGATAAATGTAAATGAAAAATACATACAACCTTCTACGTAGTATGTATCTTTTGTTTTAAAAAATATCACACACTTAAACATACATTTGCATGGAAAATGTCTGTAAGAACACATACTATAGTGTTAATAATGGCCATCTTTGGATGGTAGGACAATGGATGATTTTAATTTTGTGGTTTATTTCCTACAATGAAATATACCTTGAACATTTACTATTATTACATTCAGAAATCTAAGAAATGTTTACTATATGTCAGATTCTGTACAAGGCCCTAAGGATAAAAATGTGAATAAGACATAGTTCTTGCATTAAAACTGCAAAGAACATTAAAAAAAAAAAAAGAAGAAGAAATCTAAGAAAATAATAGGGTAAAAAAATAACATCCACCTAGTTTCCTTATTCTAGAAATCTAAGCAACCTAGGTTTTTAATCTCTCCTTTAGCTTTCACATTCAATCCGTAACTGTTTTTTCGATTTTACCTTAGAAGTATCTGTCCAAGCCATTACAATATTCTGTTATTTTTTCTCTCATTTCCAAAATTCAGGCGCCTGTCTTCCTTCGAGAGCACTCCGAAGCCAGACTCTTCATTTTGGTAAAATAGCCCTAGCTTCCATTACTTCTACAATCTAGCCATATCAAACCACTTTGTGTAGTGACCCTCCCACACTCAAGTCCCTGAAAAATCCACACCAGGTACTTTCACACCTCCCAACCTTGGAATACTCTATTCTCTCTCCCTGTTATGCATTTTCTCCCTTGTCTTTCTAATCTGATTCACAGTTCAAAATTCACCTCCTATAGCATTTACTGGGTGTAGGTAGCCTCTCTGAGGCTACAAGAACAGGTGTCGTTCTCCAAATCGATCCCCCCAATGACAGCTTGTACATATTTCATTACTTATTATTCTATATTGTTTAGTGCTTAGCTCTCCCATTGTGCATAATAGGCCATATCTTTTAAAAATTCTTCTTAAAATCTAGTTGAATGTGTGAACGTGAAATATACACATATGCAATACATCTGTATAGGGGTGGTGAGCTTTCACCTGTATCTGATACATAAATGGCAACACAAAGACTCGACCGGGTTTTTGCTTTTTTTTTTCCCCTCTTCATTCAAGATGGCAGAGAACGTCTTAAAATAGTCGCACACAAAAGCACTCACACGGAGCCTTAAGTCAGAACTGGCTGCACTTAGCGCAACAGCAAAGGACAAAAGAATTGAACCAAATGCTCAGATGCCCCGGCCCTGATCACCCACAGTGGATCCCACCCGTATTTTAAACCGTGTCAGAAAACTGGCACCTGCTGCCTTCGTGCCGTGGGCCACGCCTCGCCCAGGAAGGGGGACCTCAGGCACTTCTGGATAATGACCCAAAAATTCAAGGACATAAAAGTAGGAGGCTAGGTTCTACCGGTGAGTATCCAAAATGCAGGGCTGGGCTCCGCCTCAGCCAGGGACAGTCCCCGGAGGCGTATCCGTCCCCCGGGAAGGAACGGGCAGGGCTTTCCTCCAGCGGCCCAACTGGGAATTCTGGGCGAGCCTGAGGCTGAGGCTGAGGCTGAGGCTGAGGGCGTCTCGGGCTACACCTGTCAGGCTGCAGCCAACACTAGGCCCAGAAATCGCCGAGATTCGGTGACCGAGGCCGGCGAGAGCGCCACCCGATCCTTCACCCCGGGTTCGGTCCCTCGCCTCGCCTCCTCGCCTTCGCCCTCGTCCTTCTCAAACAAAGGCAATCCACATCCACCGCCATTTTTCCCTTACCTCAAAAACCACCTCTTCGTCAAACTCCGGTGTCATCCTTCTCCGCCATGCCACCCGCCTCAGCACGAAGGAAAAGGAAGGCGGGGGAACTGGCGGCACCCAGGCGTCTGCTTCGCCTGTCCCTTGTGTCCAGAAAACTACAACTCCCAGCATGCCTGGCAGCTCACGCCCCCTTTTCAGACCCACTTATTGGAGCAGAGGATGATCCTGTGGAACAGAGAGGCGGGAGCAAAAGGAAGCTCCAGCCCTCTGATTGGAGGAGGCTGTGGCTTTTGTCCGCCTTTTTCGGCTGCGACCGGCAGGGGGCGCCTAGAGCACTGATTTTTTTTTTTTTGATTTTTTTTTGTGGAGCTCGAGAGGGGCCGCGCGGGCGGAGGCGCGGTGAGCGCTGCTCGTGCCCGCCGCTTGTGGCTCNCGCCCGGGGTCCCTGGAACCCGCCGCATCCTTTGTGCGGCGCTGCTTTTGCGCCGCGGGACAGCAGGACGAAATGTGGACGCTGCGGGAGCTTTGCTTTTCTGCCTAAACTCTTGAAACAATGGACTGTAAGGGGAACAGGGATTGAGGAGGGGCGAGCGGGAAAGCGAGCTGCCCGGAGAATCATGACTTCAGCCGCCGGTAAGTGACGGCGCTCGCGCTGCCGCTGCGAAGTTTGCAGGGAGCGCTGCTGGGCTGGGGCTCCGGAGCGACTTTCTCCTCGGGGGTAGGTTGGCGGCGCTCCTACTTCTCCCGAGGACGGTGGCAAGTGCGGAGCAGACGGACGGCCTTTGCTGACAGGAGAGGCTGTTTGGAAATCACGTCTCTCCGGGGACCTGCCTTTAAAAGGAGACCCGTGTCGGGGGCTCCGCGCCAGGTGAAACGCGAAAATTAAAGAGGGCGTTTGCTTGTCTCCTAAAACTTGAGCGACTTTGCCTTTGCGTGTGAAAATAGTTTAGATGACCATGTTAAGAAATCGTTTATTCTGAGAAAGGGCAGTGTTCCCGGAGTGTTGAACCCGGCGACTGTGCCGAGTCGCTCGAAACAGCCCTGACCTTTCCTACTCACTAGGTAAAAGGGGTTAAGCATTGTTACTCCTGTGCTGGTGGTTTGCCCCGTCACCCGAGAAGTAGAGGAATAGAAATGCCAATGACAATTTTTTGCTCATCTTCACCCAATTTTTAATGGATTTTTTTTTTCCTATTTCCACCTGATTGGTGTAAACAAAGCCTTATTTTCCGCCTGCCTCCCCCCAGTCCCGTTTCCTTCATCCAAATGACAAAATGTTTACCTTCTGAACAATTCTGTACGTTTTATTTCTAAACATTCTTAAGGAGCAGTTCTTATATTCCAAAATAATTACCAAGGTGGTTTTAAATTCACTTTATAAGAACATAGGTTAATTTTTAAACCACAACAATGCATTAAGTATTAAGGTGTTTGTTTGTTTTTTATGTTTCGTTCACGTTTAAGGAAATAAACTTTTATTAGAAATTTTATAGTAAAATAGTGTAAAGTTTTCTCTCAAAGTTACTTCTAGAATCAGCACTTAAGTATCGTATTAAATTTTCTTTGCTTTTCTTGGCAATTGTTTTAAATTCCTGCAACTTGAAACTGTCAAACAGCACTCTAAATGTTCTAAATTGCCTTATTTCTAAAGCCTAGATATATTGAAGTGTAGCATTGTTAGGTGTAATCAGATTTCAGGTAACTAAGGCAAGAAGGTAGCCAATAGTAATAAGAAAGCAAAGAGACAAGTGTTCGTGTAGTAGTGCTCCTGAAGAAATTGTGGATCTTTCCTTTCTGATACATGTGTTGGAGATATGTCATCATATCATGTTATTTATAAACCCTTTTCCTTAGCAAAGGGAGGCTTTCTACTTGAGGTGAATAATTTTCATCCTAAATTTCTGTGCCTCAGCTTTGTTCAGGTTTTCTTTATTACTGAGCTATTCTAACTAATTTAAACTTGAAGTGATTGGATTTAAATCCCACCAGCCAATTTTAGCTCTCTGCTGTTTTGAAATATCAAGCACATTTAAAATATTTATAACGGATATGCATCAGTTTTCAATTCCAGTCCTAACAGTTTATAATGAAGAGATACAGAAGCATTTAATTTGACATTTAAATATGTAAACCTGATCTAGGGCTCAGTCTGGAAGTTTATAACTCTTTGATTTGCATTACCCTAGAATAATGCAGGCTATTTTTATATTTTATCAACTTTACAATTAAAGAAATCCAGACATTTTTGTGGTGTTTCAAAAGAGGGATACTTCCTGTGTTTAGCTGAGTTAGTTAGTTTTTAGCATGGCTTGTGGAGAAGCATTAGCTACTTTTTTGTTCACCCATCTGTTAAGATTTATTTTAATTCTTTCTTATGTCTAAAAGGAGAATATGGAAGAGAATTGAGTTTTATTTCCATCCCAGTCTTATAAAATTATGTGTTCATCATTCTAACAAGCTGTTTATATTTTCTGGAACAATAATAAAATTCATTAAAACTTTAGGAAAGTTATTTGCAATTTGGGAAGAGAATGTTTGTTTATATAGAATCTAATCTGTGGTATTTGGGATGGTTAGCTTATTTAAGGAAATAAGAGAAATGTTGTAGAAATGTATGTTTTATGTATCCTGAAGGAGAGCTTGCTTTGTTTTTCTGCATCTGTGAAAGAGGAGACCAATAGAGATTTTAGAATTATTCTAATCAACATATTTAAAAGGAGAGGTAATTATAGGTGTATGTTTTCTATCCTTTTAAATCTGTACAGGTCGCTGTCTCATTAATGCCTGTGCTTTCCTTTATGGCTGGTTCAAAAGCTAAGAAAGTGTGCACGTGCACCGCAGCCATCTGTGTGTAACAGATGACAGTATGTTTGTAATAGTGAAATGGTACTAGTACTTTACTTTTTTACCTTATTTTTCCCTGGAGCCAAACAGCTGTGTAAATAAAAGATTTGCTGCTTTACTCTAAAAAGCTTTGGTTCTGACTGTTGATACAGTATTAAGATACAAAGGTGCTGGATCCATTTCCAAAGATCCTGTACTTCAAGAGTTTGACATTGGAGCAGACCATAATACAATGGCTTGTTATTTTTTGAGTTGGGTTTCTTTCATAATAGAGCCGTGAAAAAGTAATGTTAATAATAATGTAGGATTCCAGATATTTCTGTACCAGTGACATAAACACTCGTTCCTACTAATAATTAAGAAATTATTCAATAACCTTATTGAAATTGATTCCTGCTACTTTTCAAAATATTATTCTACATTAAAATGGATATGGACTGCCCTGGCCGGTTTGGTTCAGTGATTAGAGTGTTGGCCTGTGGATTGTAGGGTCCCAGGCTCGATCCCTGGCCCTGGTTGGGGCCTGTGCAGGCGGCAAGCCAATCAATGTGTCTTTCTTACATCGATGTTTCTTTCTCTTTCTCTCTCCCCCTTCCACACACTCTGAAAAGCAATGGAAAAAATGTCCTCAGGTGAGGATTAAAAAAAAAAAAGCATATGGACTTTAAAAAAAAAAGAAAATTCCTGTTACTAAGACGTAGTAAAGAGTATGTGTATGCGACAGCTCTTAACTGTTCCCAGAGCCCTATTTCACCATTGGGGACATGGCAGTGAGACAAAGTGCCTGCCCTTCTGGAGCTTGCTTTCTAGTGGTAGAAACAAAGTTATACTGATGAAAAATCATACAGGGCAAAGGGGCTGGAGAAAATAAGCGTTCTCCTAAAGCAAGTGTCTTAGAAGTTATCTCAGAATCATGTAGGCTTTACAGTTCTAACTCTTCATTTACAAGTAAGGAAACTGAAGCAGGCAGATCCACACAAAGGGAAGTAATTAGGTTAGCCAGCTCCCCAAGTTATGTTACTGGCTTCCTCTAATACAGTTCACTAACACTAGTGAGCCAAAGCTCATAGCTGTTTATTTAATTCAGTGAGTATGCATTGAGGGCCTTAGGTACATAATGCTGGGCTACATTTGTTGGCAATCAACCATAGTTCATATGTAATTAATTTCTAGGACACTAAAGAGAATAGGGATTTATGTCTGTTGGAAGCAGACTCATGTAGAAAACACATTTAAAGAAAAGAGTAAAATTGGTACCAGAGATTAAAAAACAATTTAACTAGCCCGGCTGGAGTGGCTCAGTTGGTTGAGGGTCATCCTGTGCACCCAGAGGTTGTGGGTTCAATTTCTGCTCAGGGTATGTACGAAGGGCAACCAATCAATTTCTCTCATACTGAAGTTTCCCTCTCTCCCTCCCTCTCCTTCCCTCTCCCTTATCCTTTCTCTAAGCATATTCCTCAGGTGGATTAAAAAAAATTTTTAACTAAAAATAAAAAATTGGTTAAATGAACTGGAAGCTTCTGACAAAGCTGCAAGATTCAGAAAATAAAAGATTAATTTGATGAGATGAACTCTTTGTTTTTAGTTGTAAAATACACATAACATAAATTTATTATCTTTATCATTTTTAAGTGTACAGTTCAGTAGTGTTAAGTACATTCACAATGCTGTGCAGTCAATCTCCAGAACTCTTTCGTCTTGCAGAATGAATTTTTTAAAAATTTCTTCAGAGATCCCAGAGGTAGGATGCTTTAAGAATGGTTACAGAAATGAAATCTGCATGACGGTCTGTCTATTTTCATTAACTTGAGTAAGATGAGAGATTGGGAAGAGCCTAGGGCATTCATACTTTCTTTTAAGAGTTCACTTAATGGCCCTGTTGGGCGTGGTTCAGCGGTTGAGTATGGAACTAGGATCCAGGAGATCCCTGTTCCATTCCCAGTCAGGGCACATGTCCAGGTTTCGGGCTCGATCCCCAGTAGGGGGCGTGCAGGAGGCAGCCGATCAATAAACCCTTTCTCATCATTGATGTTTCAACTCTCTCTCTCTCTCCCTTCCTCTCTCTGAAATCAATAAAGCTATATTTTTTTAAAAGAGAATTGACTTAATGGATCAAGAGTTGAATTTAAGAAANTTTCCTCTCTCTGAAATCAATAAAGCTATATTTTTTTTAAAAGAGAATTGACTTAATGGATCAAGAGTTGAATTTAAGAAATTATTGTACCAAGCTTTAGCATTAGGCTTTGAAGGGTTTCACAATTTTTTTCTGCTTAAAAAACA